GGAGCAGAGGCACAAAATCCTTTGTTTTCTATGAACGGGGACCATATTTCTGTGGAAGGAGGATTGCGACAGGCACAGCACTCACTGAGGAATCTGGAGTTTAATCCCAGCTTTGCCTTGGATTCTCTGTCCGAAGAAGACAGTGACCTACCTCACAGGGCTGTTGTGAGGGTCGGGGTTTGTAACGGGAGCCCTCGGGCCCAGGGCTGTGCCCCCCGGGGCCTGGGCTCCTTTCTTTTTATTCCCATTTCTTACGCTCTTTGTACCTGCAGCCGGGAATGGGAGCGAGGCCGTTTCCCCCGGGGCCACCCTTTGGTTCTCCCAGTTCTACCATTTCAGTTCTGCTCATGGGCTTTGGGGCGCCGTGGCTGTGCCAGCACAGGGGGCCCTTCCGAGGCTCCGCTGCCCCGGCCGTGGGGACGCCGGCGCGGGGCCCTTGGAGTCCTGCAGCCTCCGAACTGCTCATCTTCATTTCACTTGCTTGAGGTTGTCACTATTATTTGACCAGTGTTTGTTTCTTTTGGCCTGTATAATGGGCAGTATGGTTTTCCCTTCCAGCAGGTTTAAAAAAAAAAATAAAAAAAAAAAGGAAAAAAAAAAAAAAAAAGACTAAGCTATTGTCTAAATGGTTCCGAACTAGTGTGATATTGGGATACTTCCGTGGCTGTTATGTGATACTGGATCTTTTTACAACATAGATTAAAGACAATAAAAAGGGATAGAGTAGGAACTGCCTCTGTCCTCTTCATTCTTTTTTTTTTTTACTATTTTTTCTTTTGCAAAGGTTGGAATTTTGTGCCTTTCCCTGGGTAGGGAAGAGCAGCGGCAGCTCCTTCTCTGCTGGGAGCGGTGCAGAGCTGCCCTGGGGCTGTGGGGGACCGACCCCAGCCACCCCGAGGGGACAGGGGCACAGGGGGCTGGCACTGAGGGACGGCTGCTGGGGGGACGTGTCCTGGGGCTGCTGGTGCCTGGAGAAACCAGCCCAGGGTGTCCCAGAGCTGCCCTCGTGTGAGGAAGCCAAGCCAGGGTGTTCCTGTGCCCGTGTCTGGGGCAGCTGAGCGTGGCTGGAGCTGGGGCTGTTCCCTCAGCAGCGCTCAAGGAGGGGACAGGAGCGGCTGCTTCAGGCACCGGGACCTGGAACTTGGGTCACAGTCCCGTTTGGGGTCTCGGGTCAGGTCCAAGCCAGGGTGGGAAACCTTTTCTTTCATCTGCGTGAGTGGCCAGGGGCACCTCCTGGGAGGTGCTGGTACCTCTGGCTGTGCCAGCTGTGCCAGCTGCTGTGCCATGGGCACCGAGCTCCCACTGGGCCCATGTCAGCCCAAAGCCCCCTCCCCTCTGAGCCCAGCCTTGCGGAGCAAAGCCAGGGATGGGAATTGTCCTGTGGCTGAAATCAGAGACACCCAAATTCCTTCAGCGCCTTCCTCAGCGCTCTGCCAGCACCACCTCGGGTGGCCCGGGCTGTGCCACCGCCCGGCCTCCCGCCCCACAGAGCCACAGCAGCCTGAGGAGGAACATCTAGAAGCTTTATTTCAACCCTTTACAATAGTAAGAATCACAACATCAAGTCAGGAAATGTTGCTAAGGAGACGACGCTCTTACAGCCCCCGGGGAGGGGAGACACAAAGGCAGAAGCCACCGCTGGGCCCCCCCCGGGCCGGGGGCGCTGCCCGGCCCCGGAGCTGCTGTCCCACCAAGCACTGACCTCCCCTCCCCGGCCCCCGCCTCCGCCACCACGGCAGGGACGGCGCGGTCCCCCCCCTCGGGCACGCCCTGCAGAATAATCCTATGACACAAAATAATAAGAACACGTCACATTTAGAGAACACGTCACGCGCTGCTCGCGCCTCACAACAGCCCGGTGAGGTAAAATTGAATCCCCCCCACCTTTGCAGATGGGGAAACTGAGGCAGAGAGGTTGAGTGGCTTCCCGAGGCCACGGAGGGAGCCGAGGGCTCCGGGATCGCCCTCCGGGGCGCTGCCCCGAGCCCTCCCGCCCGGCCGCACGCCCCCACCCGCGGTCACTGCGCTCGCTGCCGGCTCGGTGCTCTGCGGGAGGGACAGCGGGGATCGGCGGGGGCGCGGTGCGGCCTCCTGGGTGACCTCGGCCGGCGGGACCCGTGCGAGCGGGGCGGAGGGCGAGCGCTGCCCGGGCCGGGCTCAGGCGGGGAGGGAGGAGGGAGAGCCGGAGCCCCTCAGAGCCCTTTCCATGCTGCTGCTGCCGCCCGGAGCCTCTCCCGCCCCACCCGCCGGCTCCGCGGGCCACCAGGCCTTGGGGGACATTTCCCCTGAGCCTGGAGGCCGCTCGGCCCTGGGGACATTTCTCCAAGCCTGGAGGCCGCTCGGCCCTGGGGACATTTCTCCAAGCCTGGAGGTCGCTGAGCTCCGCCGCGGCCGCTCGGCCTCAGCCGGGCCGCGGCTCCGCGGGGACTCGGCCCTGCCCTCAGGGCAGCCCCGTCACCCCGAGAACGCCACCGACACCGAGCTCCAAGAAAAGCAGGAATTCTGCCTAGACACGAACACGCGAGGGCCCGGGCCCCTCTCACACACCACTACGCGGGGACAGCGCGGGGGCAGCGTAGAAAAACTACATTCAGTTTGCGGCCGGGAGCCGAGCGGGAGCCGCGCCCTGGGGCGGCCGCGGCCTCGAGCCCACGAACTCGGTTACTTGCACGTCGCTGTTTAACAGTACAAAAAGCCCAAAGAACTGTGTATGTATGCCACTGATATGCCGGGAGGCGCCGGGCTCCGCCCGCTGCCGGCCGGGGGAGGCTCCGGCCCGGAGGGAGCGCAGCCCCGCCGGGATGGAGCTCGCAGCCGGCCCCGCCGCTTCCCCCCCGCCCTTGGGCAGCTCAGCCCCTCCAGGGCACCGCTCCTCGCCCCGAGCTCTGCAAAGGCCTTCGCCAGCATCCTGCCCGGAGCCAGCCACCGGCGCCCGCCTGGCCCCGCTCAGCCCCTGCCCAGCCCAGAGCGCCAAAGCCAGGACCCAGCTCGGGACGGGAACGCGTACATTCAACTTGCATCTCATTCAGAGCTCGGCTCCTGCTGCCCCCCGGATTTGCTGCCTCCAGCCCTCGATGGAGCCACCACGCCCGCAGCCCCTTCCCCAGCAGCGTTAAGGTCTCAGCACTACCCAGCTCATCCCACCTCTCCAGACAGGAAACTAAAGTCATTCCCAGCACACACGGCTCCTTCCCAGCCTAGCAATATGTACAGCCGCTTCCTCAAAATAAAGTTAAAAAAGAAATCCGTATTAAAACCGAAGCTGTCCTAGAAACACCACGGCAAACTAGTGTATCTGGATTTAGTTCATCAGCTAAACACAGGCACAACAAGTGTTAGAGAAGTGGCACAGAAGCACGGGCCGGGGGCTCAGCTGGGCCGGGGTTTGGGCAGGGACAGCCTGGGCACCGCACGCAGCCGCCGCCGCCCCGCGCTCGGGAAATCATCGGAATCGGAGAAAAGCAGCGCAGGGAGAAGGTGACGGCACTGGCCCTTTGCAGCGGGGCAGGGCTCGTTTGATTTTTGCAATCTCAGAAGATAAAGTGCAATGTTGCCACTTGCCTTCCTCCTGCAGTCCCTGAACCGGGAACGGCTGCCTCCCTTCGCCCGGGGCCTCGCCTGGGCACCCCGGGAATGTCATCCTGGGGCACCCCGGGAGTGTCATCCTGGGGCACCCCGGGAATGTCATCCTGGGGCACCCCGGGAGTGTCATCCTGGGGGTATCCAGGGAATGTCATCCTGGGGGTATCCAGGGAATGTCATCCTGGGGCACCCCGGGAGTGTCATCCTGGGGCACCCCGGGAATGTCATCCTGGGACACCCTGGGAATGTCATCCTGGGGTATCCAGGGAATTTCATCCTGGGGCACCCCGGGAGTGTCATCCTGGGACACCCCGGGAATGTCATCCTGGGGGTATCCAGGGAATGTCATCCTGGGATACCCCGGGAATGTCATCCTGGGGGTATCCAGGGAATGTCATCCTGGGATACCCCGGGAATGCACCCCGGGAATCTCATCCCAGGGCACCCCACGAATCTCATCCTGGGGCACCCCAGGAATCTCATCCTGGGGCATCCCGGGAATGTCATTCTGGGGCACCCCGGGAATGCCATCCCAGGACACCCCAGGAATCTCATCCTGGGGCACCCCGGGAATGTCATCCTGGGGCACCCCGGGAATCTCATCCTGGGGCACCCCGGGAATCTCATCCTGGGGGTATCCAGGGAATGTCATCCCGGGACACCTCGGGTATCTCATCCCGGGACATCCCAGGCCACCAGAGGCCCGGGGTGCCCCAGAAGAGCAGCAAGAGAAACACGACATCTCAGCCTCCGCCGCCTCTTTGGTTGCCCACGAACATCTCCAGCCAGCACAAACTCTGCTCCCTGCCGGCTGTGAGCCCGGAGCTCGGCTCCAGCCCTGCCAAGGCCGCCCTGGCTGCTCTCAGGCCGGGAACCAGGAGGCTCCAGCCTGGGAACCAGGCTCCAGGCTCACCGTCCTGCCCAGGGGCTCACCCTGCTCCTCTCCTCTCCTTCTAATTTTCCCTCAATTCAAGTGTTGGAAAAAAAAAAATCAACCAAACCAAAGGCAAGGCTGCCAAGCTGAAGCTGGTGTGTAGAATTTAGCAGTACAGAAAGAAGGAAGCGTCACGGGAGGGCAGTGATATATACCGGCAGCCAGGGAACGAGCAGGGCGGGGAGCGGGGCCGCCTCCAGCTCCTCCTCCGAGCCAGGGCCGGTGGCTGCTCCGGGACACCGGGGACACACGGGGAGGGCAGGGAGCGACGGCACGGCCGCCTTCCCCGGCCGGGATCACAGGGATGCGGAGGGGAGTGGAAGGTGGGGAGGAGGAGGAGGAGGAGGAGGAAGAGGAAGGGAAGCACTGGGAGGTCTCTGGGTATATATAACCGCCCCTTTCAGGTGCAAATCTGCATCGTTTAAATTTGTAATCAGATGAAAAAGCACTTATGAAACTACCAGACGACTTTGATGCAAACTAGTACATTTTAATGCCATTTTATTAGAAACCATGCAAACTTTAATATAAAAAATACAAGTGCAATAAGAATCTTTGTGTGTAAATACAGATTCCGGGTTATCGTGTCGTTGTTGGCTTCCCAAAGAAATACTCCCACAAGCACGAGAAGCTGCAGGCTTCCCTCTGTCCCCTCCTGGAGCAGCCCCCCTTAGCACACGCCTGGTTCAGTTCTCTTTGATCCCAGTGTTTTGTTATTCTGCTTGCCTTTTTTTTTTTTTTTTTCCTTTAAATTAGTCTGACCACCCAAGAACACTTTTCTTTTGTTTTCATTTATTTACATTTCGTTTCTTTAGTGTCATTTGAAACGAGGAGCTCCAAGAGTGGTTCGATCTCCTTCCTAGTCAGAGCTGCAACTCCTGGCACCAAGCCTGCCCCGCCGCCCCGGGATGAGCGCTGCCCTTCCCTGCCCCTGCAGGCCCTGCTCATCCCGGCGCTCGCTCGGGTCCCCCATCATCACCCCAAAAACCACACACCCCCACACGCTCCCCACACCCCCACGGACCTGCTGCAGCCTCGCAACTCCCGGCCCTGCTGCTCCTCCAGCCTCGGCCCTGGAAAAACGGGAGAAATGCCAGGGCTCGGCCGTGCCGTTAATAAATAAACCACCTCGGCAGAAGGCGCCCGGGGACACATCTCGAGCATCAATTACACATCTCGAACATCAATTACACGTCTCGAGGTCAACACAGGCTCCACCTGAGCTCTCACAGCAAGTTTGCCCTTCACACATTCCCGTGCCTTTCGTTCCGGACATGGCTTAATCCCATGAACTCGCTCCATCGTTTTAAAATATTAAAAAGAAAAAACCCCAAACAACAACAAAGAAGTTACAACGGCTGGATATGTCAGTAAGAAGCCAGCACGGCAGCAGCGGTTAAATGTCCCTACTCTCCTACGGGTCGGAAAAGAAGGAAAGAGAAAAGGAAACTTAGCACGGGTTCGAACACCATAAATCATCAACACTTCGTCACAAAGAATAAAAGGTTCAAGTCAACAGTTAAAACAGCCTAACGAGTGTGGAGGGGATTTATCAGCATCCCACAGGCGGCAGAAACTGAAGCGGCGAGAAGGGAAGGGGTTAAAAAAAGAGACAGAAAGAAAGATCACAGCTTATCCCTGTTAACTCGGCCTGGCCTGGGCTCTGCTGCTCGGCCCGGGCCGGCCCCGAGGCGCAGCAACCCTCGAGAGTCCCCGGGCCAGCGGGAGGGCACGGAGAGGGATGGAGGGAGGGATGGAGGGATGGAGGGAGGGGAGCCCTGCCCGGCCCGGCCGCCGAGGACCCCAGCCCGGGCGGGGCCGAGCGCTCCGGAGCGGCCCGGCCCAAGAACATCGTCCCCTTCCCACCTAAAGCCAGAGCCGGGTTAAGAGAGCCAAGCTGGGGTCCCCGGGGCGCGGAGCGGGGCCGGGGGTCACAAGCCTTGCTGGGAGGGCGCGGCCGGCGGCGGCAGCGGTGACGGGAGGCGCCGGAGCCCGGGCTGTCGCTGGCTGGCGGAGGTGCTACGCCGGGGGCAGGTGCTGCTGGAAAGGGTGGGGGGTTTGGAGACGACGATTTCCGCTCCGTGGTCCGTTCGAGCCTTGGCCTTCGCACGGAACGTCAGCTTGTGAGACTCAATCTGCAGCGACACAAGGGCAGGGGACAGGGGGGCACGGGGAGAGGAGGAGACAAGGGACGGGAGGGGAATGGAAGACGATACCATAATGTCATCATTAGATGCCTGGAAGATAAAAGGCAATTTTCTGAATTAAAAGAAAGGCACGACAACCCCGCAGACGTCGCTAGCAGCGGTCGGGGGCTGCCGGGCTCCCTCCCCGCCGGCACTTACTTGTTTCTTGGATGTGAGTGTCGAGGCTCTGCATTTCCCTTTGGTCGGCGCTGCTGAGGGCGGCCAGGCCCGGCCCCACGCCGTTCTCCCGCAGCGCGGGGCCCGCGGGCGGCGCGCCCGGCCCCGGCCCCGCTCCGTTGGCCGGCGGGAGCTGCGCCGGCTCCGCGCCGCCCTCCGCCTGCAACGACAGCCGCGGGCACGGGTCAGCAGCCACGCCAGGGAGGGCTGCAGGGACGGCAGGAGATGGCAGCGGGAATCTCCGCTCCTGGGAAAGCAGATCCTGCCCGGCCCTGCCGGGTCTGACGGACCCCGGGGCCCTGGAGCTCCTCCGAGCGCCCTCGGTCCCGGAGCTCAGCCGCAGGCACAGCTGGGCAGCCTGGACAGCCGGCACAGGGAATGCCAGGCACAAACCCCCGTGTTCTGGCATGGGGTCACGGCTCTGACACTGGATCATGACCTGGGGACATCCAGAGCATCTGTGGCTGCCCCTGGACCCCCGGATGTGTCCCAGGCCAGGTTGGACAGCAGCCTGGGACAGTGGGAGGTGTCCCTGCCATTGTAGGGGTGTCACGATTTTCCTGAGCACAATTCCCAGCTCCCTGGGGCTGTGCCAGGCCCACACATCCCTCAGGGAGGGAATGTCCCCTCCCTGGGCACAGATGTCCCTTTGCTGCAGCCAGACCCGGAGCGTGCAGAGCCGAGGCTGGGGACAGTCTGTGTTCCTGTGGGAGGAGGGATGGATGAATCAGCCACGAGAGCTGTGCTCTGTTCTCACCCCCACAAACAGGGCTGAAGGACTGGGCTGGACAGACCCCTTCCAGCTCAGGGCATTCCATGGATCTGTAAATGCTCCCAGGACTGCCAGGTGCCCTCCCCCAGCACAGAGCACGTGGATCTCAGCAGCTTTCACTGGGGGTGAAGGCCCCTGCCAGCCCTGTGCTGGGGCATGGCCACTGCCACCCTCTCTGCTGGGCTCACAGCCTGCAGTGATCCCTGCCCTCAGGTTCCAGGAGGAAGGATGGAGATGGGCAGTGCCAGCCCTTGGGAATGCCCTGCAGGGTCAGGCACCCGAGGTGGGTCCAGCTCTCTCCTTTCCAGCCATCCTCCTCCAGAGCTCCCTGGGCTCCAGCCTCCCCCTGGGCTCCATCCCCACCCTGGGGTGCACAGCAGAGCCCCACAAGCAAGGAGGCTGTGCCAGGCTGTGCTGGAGGAGCTGCACAGCAGGAGCACAGCAGAAGGACCAGAACTGGACCAAAGCCATTCCCAGATCCCTGCCCTCACCTTGACAGCTCCTCCGGCCGGCGAGTGTCCCACGTTGTCCAGAGATCCCACTTTGGCCTGGGCCTTCTCCTTGAAGTTCAGCTTCTGGTTCTCAATTTTGACATCTCCTCCCCCTGCAGGGACATGGAGCAGGGCTGAGTTTGGGGAAGCCCCCAGCAGTCCCACCCAGGAGCCCTTGGGGACCCTTTGGAGGAGGGACAGGACAAGTTCCACAGTCACTTCCTCAGGAAAAGTTCTGGAAGACCAGAGCTGGTGATTTCCAGCCATGCCAGCAAACAGGGCCCTGGGGAATGCTGCACATCCAGACAGGCTGGAGAGATCCTCCCTGGATCTGCTCCTGAGGCTGCCTCCTCCAGCAGAGGTGTGAAATGCCACCCCCACCGTCCCTCCCTGGTGCCAGTCCTGTCCCTGTCCCTGCCCAGCCACCTGTGCACTCAGCAGGGCCAGGGCACCTCCTGCTCCTCTGTGTCCCTGCCCTCCTCCCCTCCTCATCCCTTCCCCCTGCTGCTCCAGCCCTGGCATCCCTGGGCAGCTCCTCTGGCACACACCTGCAGGAGCACTGCAGGAGAACGTGGGGGTCACAAACAGAGCTCAGAATTTTAGCAAGATTTTTCCAGAATGGAATAGATTGCAGAATTAGATATAAATAGATTCCTAGATATAGATATAGATATATAGATACAGATGATATAGATATAGATAGAACAGATAGAATTAGAAATAGATAGATTCCCATTAATCACAGAATCCAGAATGGGCTTGGAAATGACCTTAAGGATCCTTAAGGATCATCCCAGTGCCACCCTGCCATGGCAGGGACACCTCCCACTGTCCCAGGTGCTCCCAGCCCTGTCCAGCCTGGCCTTGGGCACTGCCAGGGATCCAGGGGCAGCCACAGCTGCTCTGGGCACCTGTGCCAGGGCCTGCCCACCCTCCCAGGGAACAATTCCTTCCCAGTCTCCGTCCAACCCCAGCCCCCTGGCAGTGGGAAGCCATTCCCCTTGTCCTGGCACTCCAGGCCTTTGGAAGTAACTTCTTCCCTTCTCAGGCTGAACAATCCCAGCTCTCTGAGCCTTTCTCCCAGGGGATGCTCCATCCCTCGGATCACAGTGCTGCCTCCTTTGCTGACAAACCAGTGCACAAACCCACGGACTGGAATCCTGGATCCTAAGGATGATTCCAACCCCTGCATGGACAGGGCCACCTCTCCCTGGCTGCAGTCCACATCCCAGCAGCTTGTCCAAAGCCCAGCTCAAGTCTCGTTAAGCACAGCTTTGCCTCCCAGCCACATCATTAGACCCTCAGCTCTGCTCTGGAAGCCCGGCACGGTGCAGACCCAGGGGTTTGGTGCCACAAAGGCGGCCGAAGCCTCGGCAGGGTGGCAGCGCCAGGGGCACCGAAGTGACCATCAGCTCAGACACTGAACTGACCATCAGTGCCAGGACACTGAAGTGACCATCAGCTCAAGGGCACTGAAGGGACCATCAGCTCAGACACTGAACTGACCATCAGTGCCAGGACACTGAAGTGACCATCAGCTCAAGGGCACTGAAGTGACCATCAGCGCCAGGGGCACTGAAGTGACCATCAGCTCAGACACTGAAGTGACCATCAGCTCCAGGACACTGAAGTGACCATCAGCTCCAGGACACTGAAGTGACCCTCAGCTTAGACACTGAACTGACCATCAGCTCAGACACTGAAGGGACCATCAGCTCAGACACTGAAGTGACCACCAGCGCCAGGACACTGAAGTGACCATCAGCTCAAGGGCACTGAACTGACCATCAGCTCCAAGACACTGAAGTGACCATCAGCTCCAGGACACTGAACTGACCATCAGCTCAGACACTGAACTGACCATCAGCTCTAGGACACTGAAGTGACCATCAGCTCAAGGGCACTGAAGTGACCATCAGCTCCAGGACACTGAACTGACCATCAGCTCCAGGACACTGAAGTGACCATCAGCTCCAGGACACTGAACTGACCATCAGCTCAGACACTGAACTGACCATCAGCTCTAGGACACTGAAGTGACCATCAGCTCAAGGGCACTGAAGTGACCATCCCTCAGGCCAAGCCAGGGAACTCCAGTCCCAGCACCTTGGGCTGGGGACAAACCTGAGATCCCAGGAATTCAGGCAGAGGAACTGCTGTGTTCCCAGCAAGGAGCAGGTCATTCCCACACTCATCCCAGAAAATTCACCCAGGGCCCAGAAGGGTTTCAGGAGGCAGGAGCTGCTGGGGACTCAAGGCTAATCTGAAGGACTGCAGGGAATTCCCTTCATCCTGCCACATTCCATGAACATTCTGGGATGTCCCAGGTGCCCCAAAGCCTCTGTGAGCACGGATGAAGCTTCCTGGAATGATTATGGAAACATTCCTGTTTTCCTTCTCAAATGAGCAGGAAAAGCAGAAATGAGTCAAAGCTGTAGATTATCTTCACAGGCAAGAGGACATCCCACATGTCCTAATCCCCCTCTCTGCTCTTGAAACCACCAGAACTCTGGAAGAAGCATTTTTAGGAATTTCCAGAAGCACTGGGGACATCCCCTGAAAGCAGCAAGCCCCCAAAACTATTCCAGTCCCAATCCAGGGCTGCGTTTAAGGGACAAAACTTGCAGACGAATGAGGAAATGGCAAAATTCCTACCTGGCTTATGCTTGATATTTGCTTTAGATCCACACTTGGAGGACACTTTGGAAAGGTCGACTTTCTTGTTCTGGATCTGCACCTGGGGAGACAAAAAGCAGCAGCTGAGCACAGAGAAACCCCTGCAGACTCTGGAGGCCAAAGGGCACCTCAGGCTGTGCTCTGTGAGCCTGTGTCCCTGCTCTCAGTCCTCCTGCAGATTCCCAGAATCCTGCCTGGCATTCCTGGCCACCCTGGGGTCACCCAGAGCCAGGGGCCAAGGTGAGACAGAGCTGAGACAGACAGCAGGACAGAGGGACAGAACAGCACAGGGCTGAGCTCAGGCACAGCCACGGGACACAGAAGCCCTGGAACAGGACAATAAAAGCCAACCCTGCTGCCAGGGTCCCCACAGGGCTCCTGCCCAGCTGGGACACGGCCACGGCCTGGGCAGTGCCACCAGGGCTGGGGCCACCTCAGGGAGCTGTGCCACAGCTCCAGCCCCTGCTCTGCACCATCCTGCCCAGCCTGGAGAGGAGAAGCTCCAGGGAGAGCTCAGAGCCCCTGCCAGGGCCTGAAGGGGCTCCAGGAGAGCTGGAGAGGGACTGGGGACAGGGATGGAGGGACAGGACACAGGGAATGGCTCCCAGTGCCAGAGGGCAGGGATGGATGGGATATTGGGAATTGGGAATTCCTGCCTGGGATGGAATTCCCAGAGCAGCTTGGCTGCCCCTGGATCCCTGGCAGTGCCCAGGCCAGGCTGGACAGGGCTTGGAGCAGCCTGGGACAGTGGGAGGTGTCCCTGCCATGGCAGGGGTGGCACTGGATCATCCTTAAGGTCCCTGCACTCCAAGCAGTCTGGAATTCTCAGAGGAATCCTGGTGCCCAGATGGAATGCACTGCTGCAGGAACCCATCCCTCTCCAAGACCAAGGCCAGGGCTGAGAGCAGCCACAGCTGGGAGCTGCAGGCTCAGAACTTCTGGCCCAGGTCAGCTCACAGAGGAAACCCAAGGATTTCCTTTCCAACGTGACAAGAATTCCTTGACCACCAGCTGCTCTGGGAGTTTACTGAGAGCTCTCAGGAGAATTTGCCAGAACTCCTCCCAGGGAAGCAGGGATCCTCCTGCTCTGTGTGCCCAGGGAGGAGCCCCAGGATGCTGCAGGGGGAGCAGGACAGCCCAGCTGAGCCCCTGCCAGGTCCCACGTCCCCAGCTCAGTGACACCCTGCCAAGGTCAGTCACAGACCCTGATTTGGTTTTCTCAGGAGTGAAGTTACTACAGCTTTAATCACCAGTCCTTGCTCGCTCAGAACTGAGCTGAGATTAAATTGATTTTACAGAATGCACTTGGAAATCCTGCAGTTTGTTGCCAGCTGTGACTCCTGAGCTGAGATGAAACTGTGCCACCCTCAGGGAAGGGTCTGTTTGTAGCACTTCCAGCAGGAGCTGGCTCTGCACCTTGGCTTTGCATTGGAGAGCCAAGCACAGAGTGTGGTGCCAGAAATAAACTTTGGAGTTTGGCTCAGGTGGAGAGAGCCTCAGCTCTTGTTAGCTCTTGTGTCTCTGACCACGTCCCAGTGCAGCCAAGCCCAAGGCCAGGGGAGCACAGGGACACTCCAAACTCCTTCCCAAACTTCCTTCACCCACAGACACCGGCTGCACTTTGTGAAATCCACCTCTGTTCTGCTTTCTTGGAACAGCAACCTTGCTCAGAGCTTGGACTCCATGGTCTTGGAGATCTTTTGCAACCTCAGTGGTTCTGAGAGTGGGAAATACCAAACAAAAACCCATCCAACCCTTTTCCCCAGGAACTGAGCTATGTTTGTACTTCTGCTGGGCAGCAACAACAGCTGCTGCTTTTGGGCAAGCTCCTGGGGAATCCTGGCAAGGAGAGGAAATGGTCTCCTTGGGCAGAGGGCAGAATGGGCAGCCTGGAGCCACTGGGGCAGCACAGTGCCCACCCTGCAGTGCCCAGGCCAGGCTGGGCAGGGCTGGAGCAGCTGGGGCAGGGGAAGGTGTCCCTGCCATGGCAGGGCTGGCACTCAGTGTCTCTAAGGTCCTTTCCAACCCAAACCATTCCATGGCCATCACCTCTACCAGAGCAACCCTAAAGCTCAATGAGGAATTGTTTCTAAAGCACAACACTCTTGTCCACAGGATTCCTGAAAGCTCTAACTGAAGGCACAGACCCACCTGGGAATTAAACACTGGGAATTCCATCAGAAGTGATCATCACAACTACCTGAGCAAGAAAACATCCTGGAAGAGGTCACTAACATCACAGTGCTCCAAAGGGAGTGGGAAGATACAAAAATGAATAAAAGAAAAATAAGAAAGGATTTTTTAGGAAGACAGACTGAGCACTCACATCCACACTGCTTGTGCTGGAGGGCTGGGAATGCTCTCCTGGAGCTGCTCTGGGAGCATTTGGAGCCTGGAAATGAGCTTTTGGCTCAGAAAATGCAGAATAAAGAGCTGCTTAAACAGCAAGGAGCAGAACTGCAGTGGTGAAAGGAGAGTGTGGGAGAGGAGATGAGGAGAAGAAAGCAGGGACACAGCTGTCCCCAGGGCTGGGAATGCCTGGCAGTGCAGAGGGAAGGACAGGATGGTGACTCACGAGCAGAAGGACACTTCACTGACACAGTTAATCAGGCAAGGAAAGATCCCCCACATCCCAGCCCCAGTGCTGAAAGAACAGGAGAGGACCTGTGAGGCTCCTGAAAGGCTGAGCAAGCTGAAGGAGAACACTGAAGTGGTTTAGAAAGCACAGCTCCTTGGAGTGCACGGGCAGAGAAATGCCACAGCTGCCCCAGAGCTGTCACCAGTGTGGCCACAGGCACTTCTGCCACCAAGTCTGCTTCAGGCTGGGGGCAGCAGGAACAGAAACAGGGCTCAAACCCCCCCGAGGGCTCCCATGGACACCAGGGCTCGAGGCCAGCATGTCCAGGTATCCTGTGGGGCATTTCCATGGGAAACAGTCCCAGAAACATGGTGTGCATCATGGAAACAGCAGAGAACCACAAATCCCAAATCCCCAGAGCAGGGATGTGGGAAGGCAGCCTGGGTTCAGTGGCACAGCTGTGACTTCAGCATCTCTGGCCACCCTGGAGGGAACCAGCTGTCAGGAACCCACATTTGGTTGCCACTTGCAAAGATTTGTGGAAAACTCAGTCATGTGGAGGCTCAGCCAGCTGGACATGGATTTCCCAGGTGAAATGGTCCCCAGCTGGCTCCAGAGGCAGGTCCTGCACCAGGCTCTGACCAGACACCCTGGGCACCTCACAGATGTGGCAGCTGGCCATCCCTCCTCAGGAGCCCAGGATATTTAAACACCTCAGAACAAACTTCCTTGGGCTCAGGTCCTTCAGTGTCTTTGAAGCCACCCAAACTTTGCGTTGCTGAACCTGCCCTGTGCCAAGAGCCTGGCCCAGGTCTGGCAGGGCAGCACAGATGTGCCCCAGTGACTGAGCCCCCAGACCATGCTGGTAGGGGCTGGACAGTGAACCTGGCTTGGCTGGCAGACACTTGGAGCACCCAACAACCCAAACCAAGCTGCAGACACCACCAGATTAACTTTCTATTTTAATAAGCTCAGCCCTGCTGCCAGGGATACCAGCAGCCTTTAAATTTAGAAATTAATCTCAGCTCAAAGGTTAAGTCCCGCAGTCTTTGCCTGCTCCCAAGTCCCTTTTATGAAACAAGGAGTGAATGAGTGTGGCTCCAGCTGGCCCTGTGAGCCAGGGCAGAGTCACAGGCACTGCCAGGCCATAATGGATCAGCTCTGGGAAAGGCAGGCTCCAGGGAGGTCAGGGGGTGAGCTCAGTCCCAGGCTCAGCCACGTCCCCACCCCTGTGTGGGTCACAGCCAGCCCAGAGAGCAGGACCAGCCCTGGTGTAGCTGTACTGAAACAAAGCCACAGTTCAGCCTGGCAGCCCCAGAGAAGTGCAAGAATCCTCCAGCCTGAGCTGTGTCCAGCAGCCCTGGGGCTCTGCCAGGGCTCCTGCCTCAGCACAGCACTCCTGGGGCTGGCACACCACCGCAGCAGAGAGAAGGAGTTAGCAGACACACAGCTTGCCCAGAGCCATACTTACATTCCCACCTCCAGGGACATGCTTAATATTGTCCTTGGAACCACACTTGGACTGAACATGGCTGTAGTTCGCTTTTTTGGAGACTATCTGGACCTGGAACGTCACAGAACGGAAACAACACAAGGGAAGAGGACTGGTTAGAGTTGTCATTCTGCAGGGGCACAGGGCTCTGGGGCACCAGGGACCCTGAGCAGCTCGACCAGTGCTGGGGGAAGCCACCAAGGAGGAGAGTGAGAGACAGTGAAGGACAGGAGGCTGCACAGACAGTGTTAGTGCCAGGCTGGGAGCACCCGGGGACAGACCCTGCAGAGCCCTGGGGTGGCACTGCCCAGGGCATGGAACCCCCCTGAGCAGGGACAGCCAGCCCAGAGGGACAGGATGGCACTGCCCAGGGCCTGGAACCCCCCTGAGCAGGGACAGCCAGCCCAGAGGGACAGGATGGGACTGCCCAGGGCCTGGAACCCCCCTGAACAGGGACAGCCAGCCCAGAGGGACAGGATGGCACTGTCCAGGGCAGGGAACCCCCCTGAGCAGGGACAGCCAGCCCAGAGGGACAGGATGGCACTGTCCAGGGCAGGGAACCCCCCTGAGCAGGGACAGCCAGCCCAGAGGGACAGGATGGCACTGTCCAGGGCAGGGAACCCCCCTGAGCAGGGACAGCCAGCCCAGAGGGACAGGATGGCACTGCCCAGGGCCTGGAACCCCCCTGAACAGGGACAGCCAGGTGGGATGGGACTGCCCAGGGCATGGAAAGCTGGGGTGGCACTGCCCAGGGCAGGGAACCCCCCTGAGCAGGGACAGCCAGCCCAGAGGGACAGGATGGCACTGCCCAGGGCCTGAAAACCTCCCTGGGGCAGGGACAGCCAGCCCAGGGGACTGGGATGGGACTGTCCAGGGCATGGAAACCTTTCTAGAGCAGGGGGAGCCAGCCCAGAGGGACAGGATGGCACTGCCCAGGGCCTGAAAACCTCCCTGGGGCAGGGACAGCCAGCCCAGAGGGGTGGGATGGGACCGTCCAGGGCATGGAAACCTCTCTGGAGCAGGGACAGCCAGCCCAGAGGGACAGGATGGCACTGCCCAGGGCAAGGAAACCTCTCTGGAGCAGAGAGAGCCAGCCCAGAGGGACAGGATGGCACTGCCCAGGGCCTGAAAACCTCCCTGGGGCAGGGACAGCCAGCCCAGAGGGACAGGATGGCACTGCCCAGGGCCTGAAAACCTCCCTGGGGCAGGGACAGCCAGGTGGGATGGGACTGTCCAGGGCCTGGAAACCTCCTGGAGCAGGGACAGCCAGGTGGGATGGGACTGTCCATGGCCCAGGAGCCTCCTGGGAGGGTTCCAGGGACAGCTGAGAACTGTTCCAGAGCAGGGAGAGCCAGCCCCCAGAGGCACCACTCCCAGCACGCTGTGAGCTGCTCCATGCCCACACCTGGACTGGCTGCAGCCCTGGGTAATGTCCCTCCAAAGCCCTGGGCAGTACAGCTGGGTCTGAGAAACATTCTTCTATTGAAGGTGGAATGACCTTCAGTGGAATGAGCTCAGATGAGTCTTAGGTTAATGAAATGGTTTCTCCTTCACACTGACTCAGATTAGGGGTGTGAGAACGTGGTTGGTGGTGGCTTGGCAGTGCTGGGGATGGCTGGACTCCATGATCTCACAGGGCTTCTCCAGCCTCAGTGAGTCTGTGACTTTTAAGGCAAGAGGAGTGGATTAGGTGAGCTCCACTCACAGCAGTAACTGGGTTAGACACCAGTGTTTACAGAGGTTAGTTACAACACAGGTTTGGTCTGGAGCTGAGTTATTTACCACAGCACAAGCAAGCCCCAGCTGGATCCTGGCTCCTACAAGAGGTGAAAGCTTGGAGCACAGCAGGGATCACCCAACACTCTCACCTGGGCAGGCTCCCAGAGCTCCTCAGCCAGCTCTGAAAGGCTGCACTCAGAACAGCAGCTCTGGGAACACACCTGTGCCATGGAGTGTGGGGTGCTTCACTGACTCCCTAGAGGTACAAATCCTGCTCATTCCTGACCATTCCTGCCTGGTAATATTGGAATGAAACTGTGGCACTCCCACCTCACGCCATCCACTGGCACTTTGGAGTAACCCATCCAGTGGTGATGGCCTAAGGCCTGGAGTTACAGAGTTTTGGTACTACTGGGCTGGGAATATTGCAGGAAAGATGTGAATTCCTACATATTGTGCAGTCCTGAATGAAGCTGCTGTGAACTCAACCTCTCTGCCTCGTTACAAACTGGTTCTGTGTGTGAAGAACTGGTTTCAGGGAAACCCTCTGACTCCAAGTTACACCCTGTATTAACCTGGAGGTGAAACAGGAGGACACTGCTCTGGAAAGCTCTCCAGCAGGAGTGGAGAAGGTCCCTCCCTGCAGGAATTTCCCTGGGAACACCTCAGGGTGCACGGGAGAGAAGGGGAAGTGTCTGTGCGAGGAACAGTGCCACTGACAGGAGAGAGCAGGACAGCTGGAGAGGAGGGACAGTGACTCAAAATGGAAACGTTTTCCTTCATCTCCCCCAGAGAAAAGTGTGAAAGCAACTCACTTTCCCATTGGGCTGTTTGGGGACCCCCTCTTTTGCTGCCACTTTAGGAGCCACTTTAGTGCCCGCGCTGGGCTCAGAGCTGGGCGCGGCGGCGGCTGACTCTGGCCTTTTCTCTACCTTCCCCTGGATGGAGACAAAGGGATGATTTCAACCAGCAAAAGCACAAGTGTGGCCAGGAGCACGGGAACACGGCTGGACCTGCTGCAGAGCTGACCCAGGAGAACTCCTTGCAGGCTCTGATTCCCAGGTCAAGGACAATCCGTGCCCAGGAGCGGTGACGCCGAGGGCACGGCAGTGCCCAGCCCAGGGCGCTTCTCAAAAAGCTCCTGGTGCCCTTCCTCGGGATGCAAGCCACCCCAGGACAATGATTTTGCAAAAAAAATCCAAGCAAATCCCTGGGGAGCCCAAGAGCAGAGCAGGAGCAGCTCCTTCACGTGGTGCAGGTCTGGGAGGTGAAGACACCCAGGGCTGGCCTGGGGCTCTGGGGGCTCTGCTGGACACACACCCTGAGCTCCCAGCTCAGATTCCCACCCAGCACACTGCCCTCAGCCTTGGAGCTCAGCAGCTCCTTTGGTTTTTATCTACCAAAGGGCAGGTGCACACAGAGTCCAGCTGAGCAGAACAAAGGAAAATTTACAGGTTTCATAAAAATTTAGCAACTACCCGAGGATATTCATTGTTTTGGTAGTTTAGATGCAGGGAGTGCAGCAGGACCTGCATTTCTGGGGGGGCTTAGCATAAATCTTGTATTTCACTAACCTAAAGACCAGTGAACAAAAAAAAAACCAACACTACAACAATTCTCAGACTCTAAAAACAGCTCAGTGTAAATAAGACTACAAAAAGGACAATTTGCTTAACAAGGCAATTGTTAGGATTTAATAACTCTATGAAAATATTTAGAAATTCAAGGACAGTGCAATGAAATGCAAATGAAAGTCCCCTGAGCTGCTGCACAGCCAGGAGACTGCTGGCTCTGAGGATAAATCCATGCTGTATCGATGATGTCTGGGACACACAACACCCAGCCAGGAGTGCCCTTGACTTTAATGTGCCTGAGAGCAGATTACAGCTCTCCCAGCATGGAACGTGCTCCCTTGGCAGCAGATTAAAAGTTCTGGGCCGGGTTATTCAGCACCACAGAGCTGCAGCAAAGAGAATGGAAAGATCTGTGTCCCACTGGGGGGGTCACAGCCCTCTGGCTGCTGCTGACACACGTGGCCAGGCCAAGGCTGGGCTTACACAACAGCTAAGCAGGGCTCTGTGCTCTGCACAGCCACGTTGTTCAGTGCTCAGCAGGTGGATCCCACCTCTGTCCCTTCCATGGGACCTGCTGATGGTGGAAGTGCCACCTAAGGGCATTAAGAGGCAGCGAGACCCCCAGGTTTCCTCTCTGGTCATGGTTTTCCAGCTCTACCCTCTCCTCGTGCCCACCACTGGAGGTCCCAAAAGACTCATTTAACGTCAGCTTCGGGCCTGATGAGCTGGGCCTGGGAAAGGTGCTGTGCAACCCACATTCCCCTCATCCTAGAGCACTATTCCACCTTCTGCACGGTTCCTTACGGGCAAAGGGCTGGACTACGGACAGGCCCGAGGGTGGCACAGGGTGTTTGAGTGCCAGGCCCTGGGGCAGGAGAGCAGCACTGGAGCTCTGGGCTCCCGCTCTGGAGCAGGGCTGGCTCTGGGGGGACCCCAGCAGGACCCAGCGAGGAGCTCGAGAGAGCAGCGAGGACACAGCCACCAGCCCAGCAGAGCCCGGCACGGAGCCCCGGGCAGGCGCACAGAGCGGGGCTCACCTTGCCCCCGCCGGGCTGGTGCTTGATGTTGTCGGTGGAGCCGATCTTGGAGCGGACGTGGCGCAGGTCGGGCCCGGCGGCGCTGGCGGGGCGCGGCGCCCGGGGAGCGGCTCCGGCGCTGCCTTTGCTGCCCGCGGCCTTGGCCGGGGCTTTCTTGGCGTCTGCCGACACCGTGGAGGCCGTGGCGGCTTTGGGAGCCGTGGCTTTGGGCTTGGGCCGGCTGGTGGCCGCGCCGGGCACGCTGGAGGCCGCGGTGGAAGGAGTGGTGGCGCTGCTCTTGGTGGCACCGCCGGGAGCGCTCTTGGGGCGGCTGGAATCTGCTGTGGGATGGCAGCAGTCAGCAGGGAAGGGGACAACAGGGCTCAGGAGCTGCCTCGGTCACACAACCCCAGCACGGGCTGGGACACAAAGATCAGCTCATCCCAGCCCTGCCATGGCAGGAACTCCTTCACTGTCCCAGGTGCTCCATGTCCCCTCCAGCCCGGCCTGGGACACCACCCTTCCCAGAGATGTACGGGGACCCCTCAATAACCCCAGCCCCAGCAAAGGGGATTTGATTCAGACTGAGGGAACAGCCCCAGGCTGTGCCAGGAGAGGTTCAGGTGGATATTGGGAATATTCCTTCCTGGAAAGGGCTGTCCAGCCCTGCCACAGCTGCCCAGGGCACAGAATCCCCATGGCTGGAGGGATGTGACATCCATCTGGATGTGGTATTGGGGACAGGGTCAGGGGTGGCCTTGGCAGTGCTGGGGACAGATGAGTTCAATGGCCTTGCAGGCTTTTCCCAGATGGACCTCCCTGAGTCCAGGTGAGGAGGGAAGTGAGCAGTTACCTGAGGGAGACTTTGCAGGGGGTTTCTTGGCATCTGCCGGCTTCGTGTCTGTCTTGATGGCTGCCAACACAAACACAGCGGTCAGGGGAGATCCCTGCAGCATTCCAGCCTGGAACCAGCCCAGGATTGCCTGCTCTGAGTGAGCCCCTGCCTGGGCAGCTCCTGCTGCCACCAGAACCCCCTCGTGTTTGGCAGCCAAAGCACCAATCCATGACAAAGGATCCTCGCTCGTTCACACCACACACCGGGGATGGGCTGCATTTTGCTTCTCCTCACATTAACTTCCTAAATCTGACAGCATTCACCAGGAGTATTTTAATTCTGCCACTCTTAATTTCTTAAAAAAAAACCCAACCAAGCAAAAAAACCCCACCCCAGAACATTTCCTTTCTTTACAAAGGACCAAAAGCAGCCCCACATTTGTCCTTGCCCAACCTTGCTCTCATTGCCAGACCAGTCCTACCCTGTGCCAATTTTCTTGCACAGGAGTTATTGCACATATTTTGGCTCCTATTTTAATTGTATAAACCCAAAAATCAATCCCTAAACTGAGCTGCCTTTGGGCAAAGCCCAACGATCACAACCTGATTACACTGCACAGAGGACACTCTAAACCAGGGATGCAGCCACACTTCTCCAGGCAGGAGAAAACCAAACACCAGATTGATCAAGGCAAAACCCACAGAATGAAAAACAGAAATGGGGCTTTATTTTATGGAACTCTTTGATCACGAAATTGTAGGGTTTTTACTATTAGTGATGAGCACGTTTGGGTAAAATCTGCTTAATTTCAACAGCCAAATGAAGGCAACATTGAAAAGAAATAATAAATGGAAAAGACCCAAGTTAGAAATTATGAAAACCCTCATTTTTTAATATTTAATTCCCATTAAGTCTCAGATTTTTAGATACACTCCAGCAGCTGTCAGGGTCCTTTATGGAGTACCAATACCAAAAAGACCAAGGGGAAGAGGCAGATAACTACAGGCCAAGTTAGTCTGGATCATTCCACCCTGACTTTGCTAAAAGCATTCAATTAAACACCCCAGATAAGATTCCAGCTAATGAGGTGAAACCCATTTGGATAATTTAATAAGGCCTAAAGGATGGATACATAATTAATAGCAAACACTTCAAACAAGGGGCTGGCAAACCAACCTAATTTCATTCCTCGAGACCACAACTTTAACTGGGGAAACTGCACAGACAGAACAGCCCTAGGTTTGTGTAAAAGGCAGAGGAATATTATGTTACATTAATATACAGAGATGTTTTGTCTGCTGGTGTCAGTGGGGAGCCAAATGCTGAACACTTCTGTTTGTATGAAGGTGAGGTGCTGAAAACCCAGACAGAGCCCCTGGGACAAGGGTCTGTGTGACAGACTTTGATCTGTGCCTGATCTCAAGGGCTGAGCGTGGTCTTGTACAAACATTCAAGTCATTTCCACAGGGAGGGGGGCAAAAACTAAGGAAGAAATAAAATTAAAAATCAAAACATCAAGCCCCACATAACCCACGGCTCTCCTTTATCAGAGAAAATGACTGGCCTGAAAATACCTGAAAAAGTGGAACTACATCATGTCAAACTGGCCTTTACAGACACATTTCATGTGAGACAACGACTGAAACTTGGTGGCAGCTCAAGGCACCGAGTGCCTGGCACGAGAAAAGCACCAGCAGCTGTCCTGAAAGAGCATCTTATCCCCACCCCAAAGTTATTCTCTGGGTCAACACTGTGTTGTGAGAAACTAAATCCATGGAATCACCATGGTTGGAAAAGCCCTGCCAGACCATCCAGTACAACTGTTCCCCACCACTGACCATGTCCCCAGGTGTCACATCCCTGTGGCTCTGAAATCTCTCTGGGGATGGGGACTCCACCAGTGCCCTGCCCAGCCCATTCCAAGGCCTAACCACCCTTTCCATGAGGAACATTCCCAATATCCACGCTGAGCCCGACCCCCAGCTGTCCCCTCCTCTAAAGGATCTGTGACACCAGAGCTGTGACCCCAAGAGCTCCAGGTGTTCCCAGCCACATGTCACCCAAACCAAACCACACCAAACCCAACCCAACCCAACCCAACCCAACCCAACCCAACCCAACCCAACCCAACCAAGCAAACCAAACCAAATGAAACCCACCCCAACCAAACCAAACCAAACCAAACCAAACCAAACCAAACCAAACTCAACCAAGCCAAACCCAACCCAACCCAGCCCAACCAAACCAAACCAAACCAAACCAAACCAAACCAAACCAAACTCAACCAAGCCGAACCCAACCCAGCCCAACCAAACCAAACTCAACCAAGCCAAACCCAACCCAACCCAACCAAACCAAACCCAACCCTGAGCACTGGACTCTCTGTGGTTCCCTTGAGACCCCAGGGCACCTTACACCCTCCGTCCCACCCCTGCTTCCACCTGACCCAGAACAGGACACCCAGCTCTTCCCATTCCTGCCTTCCCTGTGCATTTCCAGATCCAGATTTCTCAGCCTCCCCATGGAGTCCCTCCAGCTGACCTCATCCTCCCTCACCCCAGGGCCTGTGCTCTGGCAGGATCCCACCACGTTCCTGGTGCCACAGCCCCTTGCCCTGCCCCTCCTGCCTCTTGGAACAGCTCCCTGCAGCTCTGCATGGCTGCCTCCATCTCCTTTCAGATGGCAGCAGCAAACACTGCTTTGTTTGTGGCTCAGTTTGGGCAGCAGCAATGAGCCCAACTCATTAGAACAGATCCTGCATTCCCGGGCTCCCGCTTGCCTCCAAGACCACACAAAATGAGTTTTACTCACAAAATGAGTTTGTCAGACAGGATATGTGGCTCTTGGAATGTGCAACACCTTCTCTACGCTTGATTAATTAGATTTTCCCCCAGAGCATAAAGTCTGGGATGTCCATTAGGCCAAATCCACCCAGCACAGCTAAAACATGACAATTCTTTTGGGAAAGCAGGGATATGAACCCACGCTTTGGGATTCAAACTAGTCTGTCTCATTTTACACTTTTATTGACAAATTTTGCCACTGAGGCCCAGTCATTTGAAAAGACTTGAGAAGACTTGACTATAATCTTATCTGATGTTAAATCTCTCAAGCTCCATTAAAAAGAGTGTGAACAGTGTTAGTTTATTTAAAACACTGCTCAGGTTTCCTGTGGAACTCATGGGAAGTTCCCTCTTTAGCAGCAGTACGAGTGGGACACAATTTTTGCATGAAGCTGATGGGATTTCAGCTCCAAATTCTTCCTGCTCTACTAAAAATCCTCCACTTCTGCTCAACCCTCTTGGATTTCACACACCAGTTCAGGTGTTTCAAGTCCTCTTCTGAAGATCTGCTTTTTTTAACTTTTATTTGGTGTTTATTCTGTTCCTATGGCAAAATACAGAGGGAGTAGAATGTCCACTCTTAAATCAAGTGTGTCCACTAACTGAATTAACCCTGGATCACACACAGCTGATGGAGGTTGGCCCTGAAGGGAATTTGGAAGAGAAAGCCCTGGAGAGAAGAACACTTGAGCTACTGTCAGAATCCAGGCAGTGATGGAGCGCCTTGTGAACACTTCCAGAGGTGGGGACTCCACCAGCTATGCCGGGAGGAATGTTCCAGGAGGAACATTCCCAACATCCACCTGAGGCTGCCCTGCCCAGCCTGAGGCCGTTCCCTCTCCTCCTGCCCCTGTTCCCCCAGCTGTCCCCTCCTGTCAGGAGCTGTGCAGAGCCCCTGGTGCCAGGGTATTCCCGAGGAAAGGAGGGAGCACTCACACGTTGGCCTCTTGGGAGGAGTGGCCGCCGTGGTTTTGGCAGCGGCCGCTGCCGTCACCGGCGACGGTGCCGTGGTCCGGGGAGCAGCAGAGGAGCTCCTGGAAGGAGTTTTGGGAGTGGTGGAGGATGCAGGCTTGGACAGGGAGGTTCTCTTCTCCGCGGGCTTCGCATCCGCGACCTGCAACGGAGCGGGCGGCGTCAGAGCGGCCGGAACGGCGCCGGCGAACCGCGCGCTCAGCGCCAGGGGAAGAGCCAGGAGAGGCTGAAAGGAACAGGAATCGCTGCAATTCCTCAGCACTTAATGAAGCCTGGCACCGCTGAAAGGTTATAATGCAATTAAAATATAATTAAGACGTGCAGAAGCGAGTGGTGGTGTGGAGGGCAGGACACGGAGCACGGACCCTGCGAGGAGCAGCTCCCAGCCAGGGCTCAGCTTTGATGTGTGGGGGCCTCTCCAGCTGGGAAGGAGGTTTTGATTTCTGGATAAAATGGAACCAGTAGAACACCAGCAATGCTTCTGGGAGAGATTCCCACCCTCCAGGAGCAGCAATGATCCCTAAGCTGCAATTTGTTTAAACAGTGGGGACAGGAAAATCGGGTGGCCACGGCTCATCCCTCCTTGGAAAACTCTTTCCTGTTGTCCCTGGCCACTCACTTGTTTGTCAACTGCCTGATCTCTGAGGTATGAAAATACTGAATTAATGCATGAGAATAAACATTATTTTATCAAAAAGATACAAAAAGTTGAACCAAACCAAAGTCACCAGCTCAGAGAAAAGTGCAGTTTTACACCTGGGCTTTCATTTGCCTTCTGTTATTTTTTCTGTTATTTTTAGTTACTTATAAAAGACACTCAAATGCAGTAATTTGAGCTTAATACAGCAGGAGTGGTGGTGTTCAGCCATCAGTGAAAGCTTCTGAAATAGTTTTGATGTTCCCTTTTAAAGCTGAATTCCCCTACTCTGTAAGATCACAATTTAACACAGGGATCATTCAAGGGACACCTCCCATTCCCAACACATGGGGATTCCCTGCTTATCTGGAAGATACAACACTGTCCATGCATCCCCTCTTTTGGGGAGTTACAAATCTCCAGACTTTTCTGTGTGTTATCAGTCCTCTCTGGGCAGTTCTGCAGTGACCACACATCATAAAATGACCATTGGTGGGAAATAAGGAACATTCACATGGCTTTGTTTTTCTTCAATACTCATATCAAATGTCTCCAGTCAGATTTCCCGTGTTCTTGTCTGGATTTAGGAGCTGTACACAGAAGGAATTCCTTACTGGGAGGTGGGAAGGGACTGGGATGGAATTCCCAGAGCAGCTGTGGCTGCCCCTGGATCCCTGGCAGTGTCCAACCCAGCCTGGGATCCCCGACTCATGGCAGCTCATCAGGGCCACCTCAGCACTACACTCAGGTTCAATTCTCCTCTGTGGTGACACAGTTCAGTGCCAGGGACACGATGCCATCCCTGGGAAGCTGCTCCAAGCACCCTGCAGCTCCCAGCACACTGACTGGTCCCAGCCTGGCACAGGAGCTCTGCCCTGCAGTGAGCCCTGGTGCTCCCGGAGCCGGGCAGTTCTTACCTTTGGTTTAGTCTCTTTTGGAGTTAGGGTGGAGGGACGGGTGCTGCTGGTGCCGGGGCGTTTGGAGGTGGTGCCTGGAGCAGGAGCTGCAGTTGGGCTCGTGGGCTTTTTGTTTGTGCCCGGGGTGGCCGAGCTCGGCCGCTTGGGGCTGGTGCTGGCCGAGGGCTTGGCCTTCGCCGCCGCCGCCTTGGCAGTGGAGGAGGATGCAGCAGGCTTTAGGGTTGGGCCAAAAAGCAAAATCCAGGATAAAACCAAAGAAACACAACAGAAAATAGCGCATTGTAAACCAAAATATTGAGCTGCAACAACAGAAAAGTGGTATTTTAAAGGAAACAAATAATAATAATAATTATAATAATAATAAGAAGAAGAAGCTTTCTGTTTTCTGAGTGCAACAAAGACTGAAATGCAGCGGACTCCGGGGCTGGGGGAGTTCTGCCATTCAATTCCAAACCAACAGGATTTATTGCAGCAGCATGGAAAGCAACAGAAGGAATGGCTGGTAAAGCTGGATTAGTAATTGGGTGCTCCTGGCATGCAGGGCTACGTGCAATCCACAGGCCGTGGCTTTCCAATTACGGCACGCAGGGATTGCGAGCTCCAAATCCCCTGGGATCAGCTCCCCTGGTCACACGGGCAGGGCTCGAGGGGACAGAGCCCCTGGCCCCCCCAGCCCTGCTGGGGACACCGGGGGGACTCTGCTGCCTGCCAGGGAATTCCTGAAATGAAGTTTCCACACTTTGATCAAAGTTTGCCACGGGCTGGGCCCTTGGCAGCTCCGAAGTGGACGGGTTTGCTGCAGGGACAGGGCTCCCAGGGGCAGCTCAGAAAACAGAAGTGGCACAGCTGAGGAAGCACAAAAGCTGGAAATGAAAGCCCTGGAAGCAGAGATGGCAGCAGGGAACAGCTCCTACCTTGCTCTTCTTCTCGGGGCTGGGGGGCAGCTCCTTGTTGGGAGGAGCTGTGATGTCGTTGCCACTCACGGCCTCGGCTGCTTTGGGCTCCTCTGCCTTGGCTGGGGGAAGGAAGGCACATTTGTAAGTTTAAGCTTTTTATTCTTTTTAAGATATTTTTTTAGTTTATTGTTATTCAACACAGCAGCAGCAGGAGACAGAAGTGACACAGGACACTTGTAAGTTTAAGCTTTTTTTTTTTAAGATATGTTTTTTAGTTTATTGTTATTCAACACAGCAGCAGCAGGAGACAGAAGTGACACAGCACAGGCTGGTGTTAGTGGAAAAGTTCCTAAACCCCAGAATAGCTGCAGGAAGAAAGATTTCCCCTGCAACAGGACAGGTTCATCCAGGTGCTGTTACATTCCAATTTCTCACATTATCCCAGTGGGAAAAGCCAGACAGCAGATGAAGAAAACCTGTGGTTTACTTTAAATAGCAAATCTTCTCATCTTTTAAGTTGTTACAAGAAATTGTTGGAACGTTCATGGTGAAGGCCTGACCTCTTCCAGGTTTTACACTTATCCTGGAGTGGGGTTCTGTTCCCAGCTATCCCTATCGTTACAGCTGCTCCTTCTCAACCTTTCTTCTGCCCACACCCACAGCTGGAGCCCTCAGTGAGCAGGGAGGGCTCCCAGCAGCCAAAGGGAGCAACAGGAAAGGTCACACAGGTGACAGGTGCCAGCCCTGGATCCAGCAGCACAGGCACCTGGAGCTGCTGCAGGGCTCTGGGAGAGCTGGGAATGTTCCCTGGAGAGGAGAAGGCTCCAGGGAGAGCTCAGAGCCCTGCCAGGGCCTGAAGGGGCTCCAGGAGAGCTGGAGAGGGACTGGGGACAGGGGATGGAGGGACAGGACACAGGGAATGGCTTTGGCTGAAGGAGGGTACATTTAGATTGTTTATTAAGAGGAAATTCTTCCCTGGCAGGGTGGGCAGGTGCCCAGAGCAGCTGTGGCTGCCCCTGGATCCCTGGCAGTGCCCAAGGACAGAGCCTGGAGCAGCCTGGGACAGTGGGAGTGTCCCTGCCATGGCAGGGTGGCTTGGGATGGTCCTCAACGCCTCTTTCCATCCAAACCATTCCAAGACCCCCATGAGGGCAGGAACATGGAGATCCCACTCTGGCAGACAGGATCACACTGGCCCCTCACTGGGGCTGTGTTACAGCACAGAGCTCAGAGCCAGCTCCAACAAGTGCCAGTTTTCCCTGTGATTGTTCCTTCTGGCCATTGTCACCCGGGCTGTGACACTGCCTGGGGACAGGGAACACAGCCAGGCTGCTCCCTGAGGGGCAGGAGAGCAGCACCCCCTCCTCGTGTCCTCTGAGAACCCAGAACCCAAAGCAGCCCCAGCAGCACCAGCGCTGCCCTCCAACCCAACAAATCGTTCATTTAGGAGCAGTTTCCCCACGTTTTCTCCCCAAAATCCCACAGCAGCCCTTGGTGCTGCTCAGCACCAGGGACAAGCAAGCAGCAGCTTCCCCACAAATCCCTTCCAAGCCCTCCTTCCTCAGGGTGCAGCTGCACATCCACCCTGCCCTGGGCTGGATCCTGCCAGGATGCTGTGCCAAGAGCCCAGCACAAATTCCTGCATCTCCCCTGTCATCTGGGGATTCAAACCCGGCCTCATCCGTGTTGGACGCTGCTTTTCATAACCCTGCAACAGATTGTGACGAGGCCAGGGTAAGGATTCCAGCAGTAAACAGCCTGTTCTCCACACCTTTTGGAAATTACAGTTTCTATTGCCCGTTTTCCTGCTCGTCAGACTTGACAGGAGTGTCTCAAAGGATGGCTCAGTCCTGGTACAAGCCAGGAAAATAAAATCAGCCCGTGCCTCCCTCCCAGCAGAGTACGGGGCTGTTGTTTTTATGTTCTGACTCCAGGGTAAGCTCAGGATAAGCCTTTTTTGCCCCTGAATTGGTTTAACCCCTTCCTACCCATCTGGCCTTCTAGTTTTGCAGCACTGGGCTGAGCATCCTGGGCACATGAAAGAGGTTTGTGAAGGAAAACCAGCAAAATGTAGAGGTTGAACACCTGCTTTAATGCAAAATCCTTAGGAATTGTGTCTGTTCACCTGGAAAAGCTGGTTCTATTGCAGCTGATCTGTATTGGCTCCTCTCTGCCTGATTCCTGCCCTGCATTTCAATAATCCTTTCTCTTCTCCTGGTTTCACCTGTCAGTTCCATCCCCAGCAATGCCAGCAGCAGCAGTTGTCAGCAGTTCCCTCTCCTGAAAAACAACTCCTGCCCATTCCCTTCTCTCTGCTTCCCTGCTTCGTTTGGACTCCTACCAGTCTCAAATATCCCCCACATCAAGGTGACTTCCAGCTGGTAAAAGCTGCTGTCATTAATTATTTCAGCTAATTCAGCACCAACATTAAACCTCTGGCTGATGAGGGGTTGCAGCACCCATGACAAGAATTCCCAGGATCAGGGAGTGCTCCTCAAATCCTGCAACACCCAAAGGTTCAGGATCTGAATTCCAGCAGGATCCACATTTCTGAACCAATGGCAACAAGAATTTCATGTTATTTCATGCTGCTTAATAGAAGGTGAATAAAAACCAGGACAGGACACAGGGAATGGCTTTCCACTGCCACAGGGCAGGGTTGGGCGGGATATTGGGAAGGAATTGTTCCCTGGGAGGGTGGTGAGGCCCTGGAATAGAATTCCCAGAGCAGCTGGGGCTGCCCCTGGATCCCTGGCAGTGCCCAAGGCCAGGCTGGACAGGGCTGGGAGCACCTGGGACAGTGGGAGGTGTCCCTGCCATGGCAGGGTGGAACAGGATGGGCTTTAAGGTCCCTCCAAACGAAACAATTCCATGCTTCCATCATCTATTATTATTATTATTATTATTAAAATTCAGGGGAACTGGGTAAAGACCTTCCCTGCTTGAGGGGCCATAACTCAGGCTCCATCTCTCAGAGACTCTGACATTCCAGGATACACAACCCTGCACCATCCCCCAGGGATTACAGGAGGAGGAGAGGTTTGGGGTTGAATATTCATTTGTCCTGTGCTCATCAGGACATTTGCTCTCATTCATGGTTTAATTACGAGGGTGTTCTCAGAGCACAGAACTGGGACCATTTCCTAGTTACAGCGAACATTAGGAAAAGCTGCCAAACCTTAATCACATTTGTTCATTAGGCTGCAAGAATTATTTAGGAGACTTTTCAGTTTGCTTGCTCCCCCAAGCACAGCCAGAAGCCCCTGGAAGATATTTGGAAGGCATTTTGTTGGAGCTGCTGTGCCCTGAGCTGGCTCCGTGGCTCCGGCTGAGTCAGCAGCACCACGGAAGCACTCCCGAGGGAAAGGGGCTGCAAGGAGACAGGGAAGGACATTCCCATCTGCCATCCTCCATGGATCCCTCCCAGGCACAGCCCTGCCAGCAGCAGTTTCTCTCCACACTGATGGCAATGTGCTGGCAGTGCCTCCATCCTCATCCTCTGTCCTCACCGCTCCTGTTCCAAAGGGTGAAAATCACCATTTCTGGGATGTCCCAGCAGTTTCCAGGAGCAGCGCTGCAAGAAATTATTCATATCACCTTTCCTATCATGATGCCTATCAAGAAATCATTGCTATCATTTTTCCTATCAAGAAAAATGCATTTCCTGCAACAGCCTCATCCCAGTGTCTGAGCCACTTGCTGGTGGAGCCCCAGGCTGTGGCCAGCTCCAAGGGCAACTCCATGGCCAGCTCCATGGCCAGCTCCAAGGCCAGCTCCATGGACAGCTCCATGGACAGCTCCATGGGCAGCTCCAAGGCCAGCTCCAAGGCCAGCTCCAAGGCCAGCTCCATGGCCAGCTCCAAGGCCAGCTCCAAGGGCAGCTCCAAGGGCAGCTCCATGGCCAGCTCCAAGCCATTCCAGGCCCATTCCCAGCCCACAGCCAGCCCACCCTGGAGCTGAGCACCCCAAGGCCCCCACCAGCTGGAGGTGGCACACACCAGGTTTATCCCACATGGATCCATCCACCCCAGCGTGCTCTGTGCAGTGTGAGGTTGGCCAACCCAACCCTGAGCTGTGGCACACTCAGCCAAAACCACCCACAGAGCCCAAAGCACCAAAACCACGACTGGCAAAGCCCCACTAAAGCCAACAAGTTAAAAAGCCTGATTTTAAGATAAATTTGTCTCCAGACAACAGCTACTTGCCATGGCTGGATGAAGGACCCAGTGAACAACACCAAATGGGGTTTGGATAGAACTGGAGACAGAGGGAACAAGACTCAGAATAAATCAGCAGTGGTGATTTTTCAGAATGAATTTCAGAATGAATAAGGAGATGATCTGTGCCAAAACTACACCCAGGAAAGCAAGATGAATCTTTGTGCTAAAACAACAGTCTTCCTACAGATCTGAGCAATGGGAAGTGTACCCCTCAGGCTCGCCCTGTTCCAGCAGGATGAGCCACCAAACCCCAGCAGAGAGGGACCTGTGCCTCCCAGAGCCAGCCTGGGCTGGTGACACACACGGAGCGGGGACAGCTCTGCAGGGACACTCAGCCCCACCTGGGGGCTGTGGCAGCCACCTGGAATGGGAACTCTGGGGCCTGAGGGGACTCTGAACGTGTTTTATCCTCAAACTCCCCTTCTCTGCCCACTGCCCCTCTCCTGGTGGCTCCCCCCTTAGCTGAGGAACCTTTGGAAGAGACAAAGCCTGGCAGAACACGGCCAAAGGTGAGGCAATGGCTTTAAGAGCCTTTCCCCCAAGAACAGAGAGTAGATCAGCTCCTTGATCAGCTCCATGGGCAGCTCCAAGGACAGCTCCATGGACAGCTCCATGGGCAGCTCCAAGGCCAGCTCCATGGCCAGCTCCATGGGCAGCTCCAAGGCCAGCTCCATGGCCAGCTCCATGGGCAGCTCCAAGGCCAGCTCCATGGCCAGCTCCATGGGCAGCTCCAAGGCCAGCTCCAAGGGCAGCTCCATGGCCAGCTCCAAGCCATTCCAGGCCCATTCCCAGCCCACAGCCAGCCCACCCTGGAGCTGAGCACCCCACAGCTCCATAGCCAGCTCCAAGGCCAGCTCCATGGGCAGCTCCAAGGCCAGCTCCATGGGCAGCTCCAAGGC